CCCCAAAACCCCAAAACCCCAAAACCCCAAAACCCCAAAACCCCTTTAACAATTCCTCGATAGGATTATTAGGAAACTTATAATATTAATTTGGAACAAGATGTATTTCACATCAGTCGAACCTCATCCAAAAAGAAGGGAGATCTCTCTGTACCCATCTGTCCAGCATTATAAGCAGCCTATGTTACAACCAGTAAGATATAGTTAATAATTTTTAGGTATTCCAGGACCAGGAAGCTACTCCAGTTGTAAAGAGTACCTTTAAAATTGTAACTATTATAGCTCAAGAAAGTCTGACAGAGAATCAATTGAAATCAATTCAGAAATCTCTTGCTCAAAAGAAGGAGGCAGTTGATCATGAAGTAAAGAAGACTGCTGGGCTTTTTGAAAGAGTCAACAAGTTTTATCACATTTTCGTTAAGGTAAAGGCATTAATGTTGATGGTATTCTCCATCTACCATTTCCTTGGAGGATCAGATGAGCCACAGTTGCTTCCAATCATTCTTTCTTTCTCTATGTCATTGATTCTGTTTAAGAAATCAATGGCTTCAAAGAAAGCTATTAAATCAAACCATCATTTGACTGTGAAGAAGATCTTTAAGAAGGCTATTACTCTAGGAATTATTTTCTCTGTTGTATATCTTTTATGGTCTGTTGCTATTTTTAAGTCATTCAAAACTCCTGAGAAATCCACTGATTTGAAGGCCCAGGCCATTAAGGCTTCCCTAACTGAATCTGCTGATAACATTCAAATTTCAATTCCTAATCTCTCCCATGCAAGAATTGGAGCGCCAGCAGCTCATTTCGGAAACAAGTTTGATAGAAAGCAATTTGAGAATACTGTTCTTACTAAAGAAGTAAATAAAGATCTCACCAAGCAAAGACTTAAGGAGAAGCTAGTTTTCTCACCTAGTATTTCAAGAGAGACTACTTTGTACATTTTCTTTGCTGCAATGACTATCTTGATTGGTTTAAAATTCTCTATGTATTTCTCCCATTTCAATCAATACAAGAATGCTTTGGAGAAACAAGATAAAATCAATAACCTGATCTTGCACTTCCAAAATACTGAAATTTCCGGAAGGGCCAAAATTGCTCCAGAGCCAGTCGAGATAGTCGAAGAAGCTCCAGTTGGATCAGACTATCCAATTATTGAAGAAGAGCCAGTGAGACTTGCTTCTGTCACCGACTGCTCTATTGATAGCAACAGAATCATTGATATCACCGAAGATCCTTGCTATCCAGTGATTTCAGAGCTTCCTTTGCAGAACAAGTATGCTCAAGAATAATTATTTCCACAATGAATTCTGATAGTGACTCCACTCAACCATCCATTTATCAAAAGGGGTTTTGGGGTTTTGGGGTTTTGGGGTTTTGGGGTTTTGGGG